ATGTTGCCCAGTGCCCACACAAGCCTCGGGCAGAGAAATATACTCACACAGATCATTTTGAGGCTAAGGGAAGATTCCCTTTTCCCTGCTGCACACAATGACCTTCAAAAGAATCCTGGCAGCAGCCGGCTAAGTGTTTTCAGACTCAGGTACATAGGTTCATGCACTCCAGGGCATTGTAAATCATTACTCTCCTTTTCCTGGAATTTCCCCAGGGCCTATTCCCCTTTCCTTCTGTTATCAATGCAAGAGTGAAAGCGAAAACAGTCTCCGGAACAGGTGAAGCAAACTGCTGCAGGGACTTTTGCCTGGGAGACACCGCCTTTCTTCCTCGTAGGGGCTGTTTTCAATAAAGCCCCCTGGAAATCCAGAAGATGAAGAGGAGAGCCTCACTGTAGGGAGAGGGATCAGCTACCAGGCTCTCAGGAGAGCAAGGAACTGCTTGCTGCCAGCTAAACCAGGTGAGTTTCTCTGGGAGCCACTGCCAACCACCCTGTGCCCTGCAGGGATCCTAACAGCAGCAAGAGGCCTCCATGTTCATTCCCAGCTACCCGCAGAGCACAGGAAGGAGCCATTAGACATGCTCTCCAGACGGCCTGCTCGGACAGGTTTCGCTCCTCTGGCTTTTCCTGTGGTGGTCCACCACTGTAGAGGGGGTGAAAAGGCCAGCGGCGGGCAGCGGGGGGTTGAAGAGGTGAGCGGCGAGGGAGCCAGCGGCGGGTGGTGGGGATGAGGAGGCAAGAAGCGGCGAGCCAGCGGCAGGCGGGGGTTCTCGGGTATGGGGGTTTCTGGCAGGGGAGTGAGGAGGTGAGTGGCAGGTGGGAGGAGGCGAGCGGTGGGTGGGGGACTGAGGAGGGACGCAGCAAGCCAAAATGCAACTGTGCATGATTTTTATTGAGTCTGCAAAAGGCGCCCTACATAAATCAATTACAATGATTTCAATGTGTGTATGTGCATATTTATTTGTTTTTCCTAAAGTTAATTCAGTATTTTAAGAAAATTTGTCAGTGGCCACCAGCAAGAATTGGTGGCCGCACTCTGAGGCCACCAAAATTTTTGTTATGAGAACCCCTAACCTAGCTACATGAAACACTTTGTGCTCCCCCCTCGGTCTGTATCCACCTTCGGTTTCCTATTTTATACTTAAATTTTAATCTCTTTAGGGCAGGGCCTGTGGTTTATTCTGTGTTCTTATGGTGTTTAACATAGTGGGGTCCATGACTGGAGCACATAGGTGCGACTACAATATAAATAATAATATTTAGCTAAGCTAGTGCACAACTTGACGGTTCCAAATCAAAAACAAAAAAATGTCATCTCACCTCTCCTATTTTTTTAAATTGTAACTTTAATGCTGTGATCTGGACTTACCTGCAAATTGTTTCCTACCATCTTGGTAAAACGCTGCTATTTTATTCTGATGCCTCACTGCAGTGTTGCTACGTTTTCACCCTCTTGCACAATATTATTTGATAGATTGTAAATATTGCATTCTTTGGCGCAGGGACGGTGCCTTCCGATATGTTTGTAAAGCCTCTAGCACAGTGGGGACCTGATCCTTATCAGGGCTGCTGAGGGCTACTGCAGTATAAACACTTCATAACCATAACTGTCCCGAGCCTTTGCGTAGAATTCTAATGTTCTCAAAAGCCATCTCAATGTAACCCATGTTGAACCCCGAGTCACAGGACAGCATGTGGAGGTGTCTGGGTGTGATAGGGTTACCATATTTGAACATTCAAAAAAGAGGACACTCCACGGAGGGTGTCGGGATGACAGTGCTGCGCAAAGGAGGAAGGGGAAGCAAGGACTCTCCTTACATACCTATGCCAGCTACCAGGCCCTTGGGGCTGCAGGCTCACGAACAAGCAGGCAGGGACTGAGAGGAGCACTGGCTCCACCCCCTCACTCCATGGCCAGCCCAGCTCTGCAGACATGAAGCGGTGCTGTAATTTGCTGGTAGTTTAGAAGCACTTAGGGCCAAGGAGCCACCTTAGTAGACACCCTGAGAGCGAAGGGCTACGAGGTGCAGATGGACTCCCTGATCGTCGGAGCCTTGGGCGCCTAGGACCCCTGCAACAAGCATGTGCTGCAGACCTGCGGGATTGGTTGACGCTACGCACAGCTCATGTGGCGCCTCATGGTCTCAGACACCATCCAATGGTCCAGGGACATCTACATCGAACACGTCACTGGCCACCGACAGTACCAGGAGGCGTGAGCCGAAGCGACATCACTCTTTGACTACGAGAACGGGACCAAGAGACTTTGTCCGTTGGACCATATGAACTGGAACCATAAACTCCCTGAACGTTAAATCTCACCAAATGAGGGTCAACTCATCCACTCATTCTGCTCCACACCCGAACATAGCCATTATATGAATTTCAGACCCTCATATCTTAATGTCTGTACTCTGACCCATCATCCTTTTAGGCTCAATCAGGGATATTGCAGATTATATATTCCTTACGACACCCGATCTTAAACCGAACTTCGCACCCCTCGATCATCTGTACGTTATTCCCTGATAATCAGAAACTTCTATGCTTAAACTCTGTACCGTTCACTTTTTTTTAAACATCATCTTAATAAAAAATTTTATATCAGGCCCTGCCTCCATCTCAAGCAGCAGCAGCATCTGTGGGAAGGAGAAACCTTTATTCGGGACCCTCCCTTCCCAGCCAGCCAGAGACTTGAGGCCCCAGGGATTCACATCACAGCCCCAGCCGGACTCCCAGAGGCAGTGGCGGCACCGTCTGCACGGAGGAGGCAATTAGGGGTCCTCCCAGGGTGGGTAATGGGGCATTCAGAACACTAAACAGGCTTTGGTAATCATCCAGATACGGAAGTCAAACCTCCCTTCAGAAAGCAGGGGAGGCACTGTGCCTCTAGGAGGCGTCACAGGGGCACGGTGTCTTGCCCTTGCACCAGGGCTTCCTCAGCACAGGACTTAAAAAAATAATAATCACAATTTAGCCCTTTACCGTAAAGAGAAATGAGATGAAATGGCACTGAAAAAGATGTCAGCAGCTGGCTCGTTGCCTGCACTCGGGCTCCTAACATATTAGAAATTGTGGGCAACTGTTTTTAAATGCTCCTAGTGTAGGTAAGGCCTGTGAGACCAAAAAATAATAATAAAAAAAATCAGATCGATCTGCAAGCTGTTCCCAGGCTGGCCTTGGTTTGTTTGACTTTGAAGTGCTTTCAGACAGTGTGTGCGATATAAAAGTTCATTGCATTTTGTAGCCTCTGCAGAACTGTAACCATGACAATTCAGAGCACAGAAAGCATTATGCTTTGATTTCTTATTTAAGGAACTAGAGGCGAAAACTGAGGCTTTTCAGTGTGCTTTAGTCACTGCTATGTGATGTCGATAACTGACCATCCACATCTCGAGCCAGATTCCAAGGCTGAATGTCTGCAGATCTCTGTGCATAAACAAGGCGGCAGCAACCAAGCCCAAAGCGAACACGTCTGGGTTATAGGCTGTGAATGCGCAGATCTGGCTAATGCATAGATCTGCCCTAAATTGCTTTAAACTCAGCTGGAGGGGAAAACTAATGGTACCAGTTTAGGCACTGAGAGTGCATAGCATACCTGAAAGTATGCAAGAGGGCTGCTCTCTGGCATTGAACTGGGGCCCTCTAGACTAACAGCATGCACGTGCACAACCTGTGCTAAAGAGCCAGGCTCTGAAGGTAGGGTTAGAGGACCCAAGAATGCTAAGTGGCAAGGGGGTGCAGAAGGGTTACAGGAATCACCTGATTCTGGTCTGTACATTCTGGTTCACCAAAGAATGTCATGTGAAGTCTTAAATGAAAGCTGGCGTCACACCGGTCATCAATATCTTTGTGACATGGGTACGTACAGATACTCTGTAAGGAGTTGTGCATATATGCAGAAAATATGTTTTTAAAGTCTGTATCCAGGTATTAGTCAACAGGAAAAGTGACAAACAGGTTGTCTGTCAGACAGGAGATGCCTATCCATTTACATGTAAACTGAGTATTGTCTCATTCACAGTGGGTCCCCTATCGCCAGTCTGAACTGAATGCAGATGAAGGATTGTAAGAAAGAACCTTAGATATAATCTAACAGGAAGTGAAGCACGGGGGGGAAAGAAGAGAGCCTTCTCTGGAGGCGCATAGCAAAAGTTTGCTTGAGTATATTGGGGATTGGAGGGAACAAAGGCCCCCTTCACTGGGGGAGTAAAAGGGCTGCCATCAGGCATTGAAGGAAGTGCTTTTGCATCGTGAAACAGGGGTCTCAACCAGGCTTGGTTGAAAACTCTGGAGAGAACTTTGGGTGAGATATGCTTCTTTAGACAGGAGGGTAACTTGGCAGTTAAAGTTAGTATCTAGAAAGCCTGTTATGATTTTGTTTTTGTGTCACCATTCATTTTCATATTCCTACTCACTATCACTTGAATCTCTCGTCTCTGCTAATAAACTGATTCTTGTTTTCACTATAAATAGATCGGTGTGCTGTGGTGGTAAACAGAGAGCTGGTCCAGAGTTGTCTCTTATAAGCCTGTGTGTCCTGTTCCTTTGGGAGCAGCAGACCTCACTCTACATTCGGTGGGAGTTTAGTGGACAAGGGGCTATTCATGCAGGGAACGCTCAGAGTATTTGGAGGTTGGTGTGTACCTATCGCTCCTTGTATAGAGAGGGGGCGGTCTGTGGAGGCCTGGAAGGCCATGCTCATGCTGCCAGGGGCTCTTGTTTTTAGGGACCTGATCTACAGCAGGTATAGACAAGACTGCTTCATGCACGAGGCAGGTGGTGGTGAGGTGCCTCCCAACCCTGGTTACGCTGGGGTGCAACAAAGGTTATTACAGACTTGCCTCCTCTGTCAATTCGACAGACTGGGGAGATACAAAGAGTTGCTGCCTAAGGGTGACTCATGAGACACAGCAATATCCCAGCATTACCTAGATCCCACGTAAGTCTTACTGCTTAATTTTGCTCTTGTCTGTTTCTTTTCTTAGACTAGTTACTCCTCCTCCTTCCGAAAACCAGATACCTGAGCCCAGTGAAAAAATGGTGCCTCCAACAGAACCAGCCTCCCCAGTAGAAAGCACTGAGGATGAAGGAACGGAGTCTGTTTCTGAACTGAATAGCTCACCCGTGAACAAGCTGGAGGCAAAGAGCCCCGAAAGTGCTCTCAAAAGAATGTTAAGCTTCCGGAGAAGTAAACGAAGTCCAGCCAAAGACAAAGCAAGCGAAGACTCTGGCACCCTGAGACGAAACAATGGTTTTACACTGAAAGGCTTCAAACAAAATGAAGAGGGCACCAGTGCTAAAAACATGACCGACACCAGTGTGGACAAGAGTGGGGAGAATACAGGGGCAAATCCCATTCTCGCAGGTAAGAGGTGAAAATATAACCCACTGTAAAAACACTTGCTAGGATTCTAATAAGATTCAATCAAAGTAGACTCTGCAGGGCCCCAGCGCAATAGAGCATTGAATGAAATGGACTTCCCTGGGTAGAGAATAGCCTGATCCCTTGCAAGGTCTTTTTGGAGTCTTTAAAGGCTGAGCACAGAGACCAGGTCTCCCAGATACCAAGGGAGACTCCATGAATGGGATGTTCTGCGGCCCCGTCAAATGGTATTTTATTAGCATTGAAGGATCCTCAAGAGGGACACTTATAAGCTTTATGATGATACATTACAAGAGACCTTTTGCATGAAGCATATTCCAGTTACATTATATCACACACATTCGCATATTTTCATAAAATCAGAGAGTGCAACGTCACACCATGCTCATCCTGCCAGGGGCTCTTGTTTTCAGGGACCTGATCCACAGCAGGCGTAGACAAGACTGCTTCATGCTTCACAACCCTGGTTACACTGGGGTGCAACAAAGGCTATTACAGACTTGCCTCCTCTGTCAATTCAACAGACTGGGGAGATACAAAGAGTTGCTGCCTAAGGGTGACTCATGAGACACAGCAATATCCCAGCATGACATCGATCCCACGTAAGTCTTACTGCTTAATTCTGCTCTTGTCTGTTTCTTTTCTTTGACTAGTTACTCCTCCTCCTTCTGAAAACCAGATACCTGAGCCCAGTGAAAAAATGGTGCCTCCAGCAGAACCAACCTCCCCAGTAGAAAGCACTGAGGATGAACTGAATAGCTCACCCGTGAACAAGCTGGAGGCAAAGAGCCCCGAAAGTGCTCTCAAAAGAATGTTAAGCTTCAGGAGAAGTAAACGAAGTCCAGCCAAAGACAAAGCAAGCGAAGACTCTGGCACCTTGAGACAAAACAAAGGTTTTAGACTGAAAGGCTTCAAACAAAATGAAGAGGGCAGCAATGCTAAAAACATGACCGACACCAGTGTGGACAAGAGTGGGGAGAATACAGGGGCAGAGCCCATTCTCTCAGGTAAGAGGTGAAAATATAACCCACTGTAAAAACACTTGCTAGGATTCTAATAAGATTCAATCAAAGTAGACTCTGCAGGGCCCCAGCGCAACAGAGCATTGAATGAAATGGACTTGCCTGGGTAGAGAATAGCCTGATCCCTTGCAAGGTCTTTTTGGAGTCTTTAAAGGCTGAGCACAGAGATCAGGTCTCCCAGATACCAAGAGAGACCCCATGAATGGGATGTTCTGCACCCCCCTCAAATGATATTTTATTAGCATTGAAGGATCCTCAAGAGGGACACTTGTCTTGATACATCCCTTTAATTTGCTATTTCTTACAGTAATGCTGCTGCACTTTTTTTTTCCAGGCCAAGTCATAAGGCTGCGCACTCACATGGGCCATGTCTAAATGGGTCTATGTTAACTGACCTTTACCTAACCATATCTCTTTCCTAGAGTGGTCACATTGCAATGCCTTTCAACCTGACTAAGCAACACTTCTAACTGCTTAGCCAAGGTAAAAGGCATCACAGTGTTTCCATTTAGGAAAAAGGTTGAGATGAATTAATACACCCTGACCTAACCTTGACCCACATTTCTAATCTAGGCAAGACCCAGAGGCCATTGTTGATGCCACTGTATGGACTGGTTAGAAGGGCAGAGTGGCAACTGTGAGATCTATATCAGTGAAGGTGCTTGAACTGCTTCACATTGTTACAGCGTGAGCTTTGTAAAATGGAACTGAGCCCATCTTGTCAGCTTTGCATACCTCATGGCCTAGATTCACAGATCATGACCAGAAGGCTCCATTATGATAATCTAGGTTCCCCTCCTGCATAAACTTGTGTCATTGCACTGAGTCCAATTACTTGTGTCTGAACCAGAGCATCTCCTTTAGAAAGACACCCAATCTTGATTTAAAGATGACCAGTGATGGAGAATCTCCCATACTCAGTGGTAAGCTGTTCCAGTGGTTAATCGCCCTCATTGTTTTTAAAAAGTGGGTTTTATTGCCAGTTTGAATTTGTCGACCTTCAGTTTCCCCAGCCATTCAATCGTGTTGGGCCTTTGGCTGCTAGATTAACGAGCCATTTAGTATCAGAGCTCTCTTTCCTGCCTAGGTACTTACAGTGATCAAATTGCCTCTTAAACTTTCTCTTTGATAAACTAACTAGACTGAACTCCCTTAGCCACATCACCACACCCAGAGCTCCTGTTTAGAGGGCTCAAGTTTCCAGTGACCTCTGGGAGCCGGAAGATGCTCCAGAATAGGAGTCTCTCACACAGCAGCAAGGATCTCTGCTGTCACACCACTGCTGCATCCAGAAAGGCAGTTTTGTACGCTCTCTCTTTCTGGTTAGCAAGTGAAATTAGACTAATGACTGAGCTGTGGTTCTTGCTGCGACAGTGGGAAATGGAAAATTTAATTGGATCAGCCCCTTTTTGGACTCTAGTGTTCCATGATTATCAGGGCCGGCTCCAGGCACCAGCAAAGGAGGCAGGTGCCTGGGGTGGCCAATAGAAAGAGGTGGCACTCCGTCCGTTAGCGCGGCAGCACATCCGGGTCTGCAGCGGCAATTCGGCGGCGGGTCCTTCACTCACTCTCTTCCATTTTGGCGGCATTTCGGCAGCAGCTCAATCGGGTTTTTCTTTTTTCTCTTTTTTTTTTTTTCGCCACTTGGGGCGACAACAAAGCTGGAGCCAGCCTGATGATTATCATAGTCCAAAGGGTGCATCAACCAACGAAATTTGGTTCAAATGATTACTAGCAAACTACCTTCACTCCTATGGCGTGGCGAGGTATAATGCTGGCTGCTTGTGGTCCCTTAGAACTGTGTTTTCAAGGCACTTTTATCATCGTTTTTCAAAATCTGCACAGTAGATAACTCAGCTGAGTGGGAGTGTAAAAGGAAGGCCCCCACTCCTAAAGTGACTGGAGACTGAGAATGGATTTCCCCCATCCCTCCCAGACTGGGTAACAGCATACAGTGCTTGGAAACCAGCGTTACAGCGAATAGTCAGTAGCTAGTAGTTATATGCATGTCTGCAAAATGACTGTGTCGTGCCAGCCATGGTGGGGCTCCTTTGGCTTCAAGGAAGTTACGGTGGGGATGAGTCAGACCCATTCTTTGAGATCTTTTTAGTAGACTCATGCAAATATTATTATTTCTATTACAATAGCACATAGGGGGGCCTCAACTGAGATCAGGGCTCCATTGTACTAGGCATTGTACAAACATACGTTGGAGAACACTTGCCCAGAAAAAAGTTACAATACAGACAAAGGGCGAGAAGGGGAAAACAGAGGCGCAGGGACCATGATTTGCCCAAAGTCACAAGCATAGCACTGGTGGAGCTGGGAGACAGGGCTCTAATCCCAGCTCTCAGTCCAGGGCTCTCTCCAGTAGATCTTGCCTCCTCTGATGACTTGATGCAGTGGTCTTATGTTCAGTGTGAAATCTGTGCAGGCAGACTGATTTACAGTGACTACTATAGGAACAATACCGTATGACGCATATTTGCTTTAAAATACACAGTACAAACCAGAAATAGCACCACAAATAAGATCGCTAGTCTGAAATATATTTAAGCAGAGATGGGCCTGTGCTGCCAAATTCAGGCATAGACCCAAACAGAAGTTTGGGGGTGTTCGGAGCAAGAGCTTTAGGTCAGTCCCATCTTGGAGTTTGAGATGCTAGAGCTACAAATGTTTCAATGTGCTGTCTAAGGCAGCAGGTGTGGGTGGGTCTTAGGGGGAACCTGAATGAGGAGAGGTTAGTAGACAGGCCAACCAGCACATGAAGGGCATTCCAATGACAGAATGTCTAAAACGCACCATAGCTCACAAGACCTGCTCACAAGATGCTAGAGAGGTACTACTTTAATTCCCGAGTGCCATTTCCACAGCTCACAAGACCTGCTGGAACGGTAGGAGCTTTGGAAGAAGTTGGTTCTTCATTCGGGTGAAATTCACATCACTGGTACAAAGCCCAAGAGATCAGGTTCATGCAGGCAAAGTACGGGGCGATGGATAGAGGCAGTCAGCCCCCAGCTCAGAGCTGCACTCCAGCCCTCCCAACATCTGGGTTAGAACAGTGGCACTACCCCTGTGCACCAGTAGCATGGGGGGCTAGGACCACTGGATCATATCCCCTGGGGGAGGGTCTCAGAGCCCAGGCTCCAGCCCAAACATCTACACTGCAATTTCGTAGCCCCGCAGCCCGAGCCCCGCGAGCCTCAGTCAGCTGATCTGGCCCAGCCGCGGGTCTTTCATTGCAGTGTAGACATACTCTGTGAGACATGGCTCTGATATTTCAGTGATTTCATCTGAACAGTATTTCTCCTCTATGTCAAACATGAGTTAGGGAGATTAAAGGTGACCTGTCACATACGTGCAGCTGGAATGCCACTCTTCACGCAGGATGCAGTAGAGAGCCAAAGCAGCCCCGCAGTCCTGACTCAGACACTGCTCTCTCCTGTGGTCTTTACTGTTGTAATAGACACATTAAAATATCTAAACGTAAACTCATAATCTGCTCTCTCCCCCGCCCATGTTCTCTCTGCAGTCATGGAAATAAATGAACTTATTCAGAAAAAGCAACTTTTGGAGGCATTTGCAAGCATCAGGTGTTTGGAGAAAGAAGTTATAACTGAAAAAGAGGCCAAGAAATATGAAGACAATCCTACAGAATATGCCCGGAAAGCCAAGGATGTGGATTTGCTTTGTAACTCTGTTGCTAACTCAATCAAATCCATTGTGGAGGAAACACTTGATCAGTTCGATATAGATGAAAGTTTGTTGACTTCTATGGTGACCGTAATCTCCAAGGAAGAAAAAGCTCATGCTGATGTACAGAGCCCCCGCTCTTCAGAATTGGACTGGGTTGGCAGACCCAGAAAATGGCGAGACGTGTGGAAGGAAGCTGTCAGAGGGAGTGCTGAAAAGAGAGTCCGTAACGTGCCTATTTCATTGAAGGAGGACAACGATTCTTGGCTCGCTATCCATTTAGGGTTCCTCAGAAAATATGTTACTGAAGATTTATTGAAAATCAAGCAGTCGGTACAAAAGTGTTACCCAGATGATTATAAAGTTTGTGGAAGATACGTGGAGTCCTTTCACGGTGCCATTTCTTCACACCTGCAAAATCTCTTGCAGAGACCCTTGGAATTCAGTGAACTTTACGCATTACTTGATTGGGTTGTTAACACGTACTATAGGTAAGCTACTATTCCCCATGCCAACGCTCTCTCCTCCAAATAATAATTTGGCTCTGAAAATCTGCAAAGTGCTTCAAGACACTTTTAGTTATTCTTGGGTTCCCATGTGAGTAAGACAGATGCAACCACTTGAACTATAACGGAACGTACCAATCTGATAAAAGATAGTGGCAAAGGCTTGTGCATAAAATGCTTACCACATGCATCCACTGTATATTTAGATTGCCTTGTTTCTCTTAGTCACTGACTTGCAGTGCTCACGATACCCATAAGTTCCACTTGCCAATGTTATATTTCAGCTCTAAGAAAGCTCAGTTCCCCCCCCATGGAAACATTTTGCAAAGCGCAGCCTCTATTAGCAGATCTTTCCAGCCGTAATGCATGGTGCGTGGAGGAGCTCTGGGCTGCACCTGTTTAAGTTGTGATGCAGGTTGGAAAGAATCCACACTGCCACCTGTCCCTGTTGGTAGGGTGACCATACGTCCCGGTTTGGCTGGGACAGTCCCTTTTTTAAGCTCTGTCCTGGCCGTCCCGACCTTTTTGGCAAAAGTGGGCATTTGTCCCATTTGCTCTTGCCAACTTGATCAGTTGGCAAGAGCAAGCGGGACAAATGCCCCCTTTTGTCAAAAAGTGGGGTACAGAGGAACATGCGGGTGTGGGGGGCGAGTGGTGACACCATCCCTGAGCAGGGGGAGAGGAAGGGCTTGAGCGGGGGGGGCAGGCAGGGCTCGGGCAAGCAGCGATGCCAGCCCCACTGGGGAAGGGGGCTTGGGTGATCAGTTCAGGCCAGCCCCACATGGTGAGAGGGGGGGCTCAGGCTAGCCCCACACGGTGTCCCATTTTCCCTTTGGGAAATATTGTCATCCTACCTGATGGCCTCCCCCTGAGCATGGCTATGTGGGACACCACTACATGGCATTAGCCCAAAGAAAAAGAGGAATTGGCTCAAATAAATAACTTTAGAGGTGTGGGGTCTCAGAACCTCTAAAAATTATTTACAGCATAGTAGTAACCCAACTGTGCTTGGTAGTATACAGAGTACAGATACGCAAGACGACATTGGGGCTGGCACTACCAGCTTACTGAGTCTAAGGGCTTGTCCACATGGTACAGCAATGTGCACTACAGGGGTGAGATGTTCTAAAACGCACCAACATGTTGTGCGACAAACTGGCCCACATGGACCTGGCTAGTGCACACGAAAAAGTTCTGTTTCAACGTTAGCACACAGGAGGGAACTTTTAGTGAGCCCCGGCAGGGTCCACACGTCTAGTTAGTGCACAACACATTGGTGCACTTTAGAAGTCACACCTTTCTAGTGCGCATTGCCACTCCATGTAGATAAGCCCTACGAAGACAATAGAAATACATGAAGGGTGGAGGAAAAAGGATACAATATACAAATCGGCTGGACTTGTTTATGATATGCTTGTTTATACAGATTCTCTACCTACATATCAGTGGCTGGCTAATTTCAGAGCGGCATCACTGCAGGTGTGGGTGGGTCTTAAGGGGGAACCTGAATGAGGAGAGGGCAGTAGACAGGCCAACCAGCACATGAAGGGCATTCCAATGACACAGAAGTAAACACAAAAGCAGTTGCAAAAGAGGTGGATAGATTGGGCCACTTATATATAAATGCTTAACTATTGATTGAGGAGCTTAGCTTTATGCATCCCTGTTCGAAAATGGTGATTTAAATTTCATTGTATGTGAAGTTGTTTACTTAAACAGATGTCATCAACTTGAAATCTAGCCATAAGTTTTGAGCACTTTCAGATTTAAAATTTTTATTAAGATGATGTTTAAAAAAAAGTGAACGGTACAGAGTTTAAGCATAGAAGTTTCTGGTTATCAGGGAATAACGTACAGATTATCGAGGGGTGCGAAGTTCGGTTTAAGATCGGGTGTCATAAGGAATACATAATCTGCAATATCCCCACTTGGGAGTAAAAGGTTGATGGGTCAAAGTACAGACATTGAGATATGAGGGTATGATGTTCATATAATGGCTACGTTCCGGTGTGGAGTATAATGAGTGGATATGATGATGAAGATGGATTGACCCTCATTTGGTGAAATTTAATGTTCAGGGAGTTTATGGTTCCAGTTCATATGATCCAACGGAGAAAGTCTCTTAGTCCCTTTCTCCTAGTCGAAGAACGATGTCACTCCGGCTCACGCCTCCTACTACATCTGCCTGAGTCCCCTTGCCAGTTTTTGTGACTTTACAATTACATTTTTCTTATTTTAAGAAATATTTTCCCTCTCATTACTGTGTGTAAAACCCACATAAACAGAGGAATCTGATTACACAGAAGTGAGATTGAAGCTGATTATACCAAACATCCTGTCAAAATAAACTAAAGCAAACAAACTAAAAATCAAAAAGCAAAATACATTTCTCTTTCATATAAAGTCATCTGAGTCTTTACTTGCAACAGCAGTGGGTAAAAAAAATTCAGACAGAAAGGCGCTATCTAGGTTGGGTGTACTTTTAAATGAATGACACATTCATGCAGCATGCTGGAGTACACACTATTTGTACAGCTAATGACATCTTATACATTCCCAACCCACAAATTTGGCCAGATGACAGGGTAACACCACCAACTCTTTCCTAATAAGCTCCCTCTGCATTAGCCTGCCAGAATCCAGTTTTCATTCAACTTAGATCTGATCTTGCACTCCGTATTCAGACCTAATTGCAATTTATGGGAGTTTTGAGTACAAGATAAAGCCCCTTATGAGATGTTGTCCTTGCAGCTGACTTCCGGATATAGCTCTAGAGAATAGTTAGTAATTCATGTTCCACATTCAAGGAGTTTACAAACATTTTCTCTTCCTTTCTCATCCCGTATTTAGAAGACAGAGTTGTAAATTGATCTTGCTTGTGGATAGCACATTTGAATATTGTACAATATTGAATCATAATGGCACCCAATAATGGATTTTTTGCTATTGAGTAAGCAGCACATCTGTTTCTACCCCAAAGTGGTACTCTACCTTCCCACTAATCAGCTGTCATGTATTGCATGGTAACTCATGGGAGAAATGAGTGGTAAAGTAAAGTAGTTTATCAATTCAATTCCCTTTAAAATCAGCCTCTAGTTCAGCATCCACTTACTTCTTCCGTAGGCGAGGAAATGTTTCTCATGTCCAAACTTGTTTGTACGCTTGCATGATTTCCAGACACTGCCCTTCAGAATATCACCCAGATGAGCTGAGCTGTGATCTTTCATTGTTATCTTCACAAGGAAATAGACACACAGTGTGACCAGCTAATGCCAAAGAAAACAAAAACAATGTTACTGGAACAAGCTCTAGAAAAATCCCAACAACTCATTGTTAAATGAATCAGTTTCATGTTTTTTTGTTTATTTAAAACTTTTCATGTCCAAGCAACACAGGGGTTTCATGCTTTCTAAACTGGGCTGAAACCTAGTCTTCAGAACCACTACGGTTTTGAAGAATGACAATTTTAAATAGCGAAGAATGGTTTCTTGTTAAAGCCTGAAAGCATGCCACATAGTTTAAGCTTTAAGTAAATTTCATACAAGATAATAATTATGTAGCTCATGCAACATGAATATTCCATTTACTTACTCTCCAAGGCAACCTAATGTGTTCATTTGAATTTTGTAGCAAAACTCTCCTGGGACACCCTGATCTCCAAGCGGAGGTAAAGACTGAGAATCTCCCTCAGTTGTTACCATCAGAAACTTGGGATAAACTGAAAAAGGACTACAAGGATTCTCTAGCGGTAAGACTTTGGGCCCTGTTGTCTGGCTTATACAGGAACAAATAATTAAAGCCTCCTACATAGAATATTCAGATGTCTCCAAAGGGGAACGCTCACCACCAGGGCTGCCTAGTGGTCAGGGGGGAGTACAGCAGGTTGTCTCCTTCCCTGATGTGCCCCCTTGTCAGTTATAACTCTCTCTTGTAGGGCTGTCCTGTCTTTTGAGGCTCAGCCCTCCAGCTGGGTCAAATGTCTCAGTCCAGCCCTTTTGGGGTATACCAAAAAAAAAAAAGTCTGATCACGCAGAAGTCTTTCAGCACCCGCATGGGCTTCGGGGCTTTCACCTTAGTTTGGGGACTTGGGGCCTGGGAACATTCAGCGTCTTCCCCAGTTGGATTCTCCACCAAGGTAAATGCTTCTATTGTTGTCCTGTTTTTTGAAGTTGGTAGGGGAGTCTGGGCCCACCATTGCCACTGGACTCCAATCCAGGGCCCGGTAGTGGGCAGCTAAGTTCTGCACCTTGAGGTGCTAAGCAGCTGCCTCCATGAATCACATAAATCCCCCTTTTCTCCATGGGATAAATTAATGAACGGCAAATAAAGTTTTTGACCTTCACAATCCATCACCAGTCTCTCCTTTGCAGGCTTTGTCAGATCTGCATTGCCAGGTCTCAGGCAGCGAGAGCTCCTAGGCAGCGAGAGCTCCTAGGCAGCACTTCCCCAGGGCTCAGAGAGGCTCCCATCCACTGCCTACTTCCTCTAAATGGCTCTGCTTCCCCTTTTTAAACCTCTCTTCTCACGCAGGCCTCGCAGGTGCAGTAGGGTGGGGTCGCCAGGGACCAGAGTTGCTCCTTAATCCCTTGTTCTCCAGCGTGGGGTTTGCATCCTCCAATCACAGTCTCTCTTACAGGGTTTGATGCTGCAATAGGCTGAGCGCCCTTGACTCCTATTGATACGGGCACTCAGCACCAGGCAGAACCTGGCCTTAAATGAACAGAAAGAGGAAATGGAAGCGCGCTATCTATTACACTGATGTGAACGCAGAGTAACTCCAGTGAAGTCATACATTATACAGACACAAGGACAATTCACAACTATACTTAGCCAAGTTTAAGAGAAACCCCCTAGAAAATATAATAGACTCATTTAAATGAGATACTTCAAAAATATGATCAGTGAATGTTGCTTATTTATGTTTTTTAAAATTCCACTTGTGCTTTGAATTTATTGCAGTGACAAGCTTCATTACAGACTGCTCAACTCTGCCAGGTCTATGCTACAAAGTTTTCACACCCCTGTGTTGGTCAGGGGTGTGAAAAAATCCACACTCTTAACCAATATAGCTATGCCAGCACCTCCCCTTCTTGTGTAGATGTAACTATGCCAGCCAAAGAGTCCTTTTTCCAGTATAGTTTATGTCGTTTGGGGAGGTGGTGTAAGTGCACCAGCAAAAGATCACGTTATGCCAGTGTAAGCTGTAACTCCACCACTAGGGGGCTCTGCTGGTATAGCTATATCAGCGTAGCTGCAAAGCCTTTCAAGAAAGTTGCACCTATTTTGCTCAGTCAGGTATCTTGGCTCACTTGGTGTGTAGGGCTCCCCAGCGTGTCAGAATGTGAAATGCTTTTGAAATTAACATTTGGGGACCAGATTTTGATGTCCTTCCACGGAACAGGATCTTAACTGATCAGTGGGCCCGATTGACTTCAGGCGGACTGCTTACGGAACAAGGCATTATTCAGTACAAGTCAGGGCATTAGAATGTGGCTTTTTATGATTAAAATCAGCATTTCCAACCCTTTCTCCAACGGACTGTTTTGTTTCACCAGCAGCTGGAGGACAGATTTAATATTCAGGAAGCAGAATTTGGTCCAGTCCTCCAGTGTCAAACCGGAGTAACTCAAATGTTAATGCCAGAAGGGACTGTTATGATCATCTAGTCTGACTTCTTGCATAATACAGGCCATAGAATTTCACCAAGTTGATCCCACATCAAGCCTATAACTTGCAGTAGAATATATTTCATACAAAGACATCCAGTCTTGATTCATAGACTAAGTGATGGAGAATCTACCACAGCCCCAAGTGAACCATTGCAGTGATTAATTACCTTCACTGCAGAAAACCTGTCTCTTCTTTCTAACTAGTGGAGTAATTTCAGATTGAGAGTAACTGAGTGCCGAATACAATCCTTAAACAGTAACGGTCTCCTGATTTCCATTGGGGTTCTATAAAGATTGTAAAGGGTTTGGAACATATGATTTTTTTTTTGATTGCACATGTCAGTTTTGTACAGGTTACTAATAGCTAAATGCAGCACACCAGCTAGGTGCCTGTGATTTGTAGGATGGTAAGAAAAATGTGCTTTGTAGTGAATATTCCAGGTCTCAATTGCTGCCCCCACATAAAAGCCAGCAGGAGGGAGAGATTGTGCCTCCCCTACTCACACTGGTGAGCATGAGTCTCATGAACAGTAGGCAACAGCACCCATCCTGGGAGTGAGCACTCACCACCACGAGCAACAGTGGCAAGGTCTAGCCCCAGGAACGTCTGCTGCAGAGCTCTTCTTGAACCTTTCCAAACTCCCCTTGCACGGATGCCTATGCTTTTCCAGGATGTGCACTACACAGTTTATTTTATTAATGCTGATCTGTAAGTTTCCATCCCTTTCCCCTCTCTCCCCTTTAACATTTAGGAGAAAATAAAGCACTATTTGGATAACATTCTGAAGCTGGAGACCAGAATAAAGTGGAAGGAGGAAAAGCAGCCAGAAACCTCACAAACCGAGTACGACTCATCGCTGTCCTTGGATATTCAAACGGTATTTGATTAGCTTGTATAAAGTACATTATTAAATATTACATTCTGGTATGTAGGTGCTGCCTCCTGTGATAATTTATGTTAGTCACACGCTCACAGAATACATTAGGAGGTGAAAAAATGCCGTTTATTACACCTTTTAGTTCTACCACTCGCCTCTTAGCTGCAAATTAAACCTGCTGTCAATTGTGTCACAGACATAATAGGCAACTGATTTTAAAGTCTTACAAAAAAAAATTCTAATCAAAGAGATTTAAAATGGTTTGTTAGAAAAGCCTCTTCGCTGAAAGAGCTACTTTGTCCCAGGGCTGCCGCAACCTCAGAAATGGTGCTGGGAGAGTGACAGCCGCTCCAATTTAAACAGTAAGAAAAAACAAAAAGCTCCTACTAGCATCAGGGGCTGCAGGATAATAAAGCCAGGAGGGTTTTGGATTCATTTTCATGACTTTCAAAGGGTTGAATCATTTCAATTAAATAATACTAGGGGGGAAACAGAACCAAAGATTTTTATTCCACTGCCATGACTCACTTTCCATCGAAGAATATTGCACATTTTTGATAACCAGAAAGACAGATTTGAATTGGATTAGCAGATGGGCAGGATGTCGTGGACAGCATTTGAGCAAGATTGTAGCTTGTCTAACTTTCCAGACACAGCTGAAGTTGTGTGAGTAGGAATTAGGAGGGACCATGGCGGGGGGAGGGGAGAGAAGAGAGAGAGAATGAATTACAATAGTCGGTACAGGAAGTGATTCAAGTACAAATAAGGATTTTGGAGTTAAAAAGGCACCTGAGCTGCTCTCAGTACAGCATGTGTGAGCTGGAGTCAAGGCAGCTTCAAGCCACTTTTGCAGCTCCCTGATCCCTGCTGTGACTCTTGTTAGAGCTACATAGCTGCTCCCCACCGGCTGGGAGAGAGGAAACCTTCCACTGCTCCATGCACATCTCCCCAGTGTTCAAAGCAGCTACTCACTGGTGCTGGGCAGAGAACTGGGCCTTAAACAAGGGCTCAGAAGAGAGAGATTTGCATCAAGGCAGTTCAGGGCTGTTGATAATTCATCTTTGGTTGCTTAGACAGCACATTGAAACATTAGACATGAATTACCACACCATAAATTCTTGGTCCATTCTGGATTATTGTTTTAAAAAGAAAGTGCCAAAATAAGTCTGGTAAATATCACGGGGTTCTCCCCCTAGATACGCAGATCACTAACTTTAGTGCTGACCCAAGTTACACAAGTTCATTGGACAAAGGCTTTTCTGCTGTTGTTCTTCCATTCATTGGATTCTTGTCTGACTCTTTTCTAGTTCATTGGACAGCATAAGAACGAATCTGGCAAAATCTTGGAAAGTCTGGAAACTGCAACTCTTGAGATCAGCATAAGAGAACTGAGAGAATTCATACCAAGGTCAGTGCTGTTTCTGGCAACATATTCCTGCCAAAATGGGTATCCTGGTGCCACCGCTCAGTAGTAGTATTCATACTGTGGGCCAAACACTAGCACCAGGCTCGCATGTGCTTGCTTCTAGGAAAATTAGGATTCGTCTGAATTCTTGTGAGCCTGACAAACTTAACAGAGGATCTGAGAGATTTCCAAAACAATCAACATACACAATAGTAAATAGACAGATGGGCGCATGAGTCTCCCATACAGCACGTCTCCTATACATCTGATGTCAGCTCTGTAAACAGGGATGGTTGAAAAGGGGTTTTCTATCTGTCAGTATTAACTGGATTTCCAGTTATCTCTGTGGTATGCAAGTACTGGACAACAATTAAACGTAGTACTGAGCATGCCCAAATAAGGGACGCAGGCCTCAATCCTGCATTATTAAACCAATGAGATCTTTGCCATTAACTTGAATGGGCAAAGGATCAGGCCCAGAATATGCACAACTCATTTCTAGCCTGACTTCTGAATCTCACTTAACTTCACTCAGTTCTAGCAGTGGAGATTATTCTGCCCCTTAGGTGGAATTACATACTTTCTGCATGGGAGTAGCCACTGGGGTTATGGCTAAATGCCTATATTTTAATACCTCTAACGTTCAAGTCCCGGTGTCCTCTTCAGTTCTCTAGATCATCACACGGATTTGGGACACTCCCTGGAAAGATTTGGGTTCCATAGATGAAAAAGTTATTTCCTCATCTTGGGACAGGTCTAAACCTCCTACGGCCCATGGTTTGTTGTATTTAAGTGTTCCCAGTTTTCAGATCAGCACTCTGAAGTGGCGAAAAAGAGAAGGACCTTTCAGCATGAATCAACTCAAACAGAGACTAAAAATAATTGTGCATTAACTGGTGAAATTTAGCACCTCACAAATGAGCCAAATCGGTAGTTTGCTATTAAGTATTTTACAAAATCAAGTGTGGAAGACTGAAAATTGCTGTTCTAATATGTGAAACTGTAGCATTTTGTGATGCATGACAGGTATTTAAAATATGTTAAAGACAATAATTATCCCTCAAGTCTCATCTCTAATCTCCCAGTTACCATAGGGAAATCCTGGGGAGTTCACACCAGCAGTTTGTCTGAGATTTTTTTTAATAAGAACAATATTTTGGTTTCACCATTAAAAGTGATTGAGCTAAGGATGTTCCTTTCCCTTTTATTTTTTTTTAAACTTCCTTCCTATAAATGGAGTCCCAATGTGAGTCCCACACAAGAGAAGATAAGCACCTGACTGAATAACTCACTGGAATATGCTCCCCAATTTATGTGTTTTCTTAGACAGCATATGCAAATGGAAGTTGTCAGTCTGAATAAGTTAATCTAAAACTAACAGAGCAATAAAACAAGAAAGAACAAAAGTAAAGTCTCCATGAGAGTGTGCATTGTGTGTCTCCTCCCAAAGTCTGTATGGACCTCAGTGCAAAGTGGCTGCTTGTCTCTGTACACACCAGTGTCCTTAAAGGTGCATTATATAGGAAATATAGACCTGATTCCCCCATGTTTTGTCAGTGTGGTGTAAGTGTAGGTGTTTTGCCTTGCTCATATTTGGTTTCTGTTGTAAAATGAGCCTTGAGCTAAAGCACTTTCCTTTGGGCTAAAGTAGGTATACATTACACTGCTCCAAAAGCTACAGAAATTACAGGAGTGATTTACAAGCCCACTTATCAATGACACATTTAATCACTCATAACTAAAGATCAGAATTTTCACCTATACCCTTTTATGGGAAAACATTTCTGGAATCCATCCTGAGCTTTGCTGATTTCAGATTCAAGCAAGCACAAAGCCAAACAATTATTATCTATGGTATATCTTCCTCTAATGCACATAACGCGCAGATAAAAAATGCAAGTACTTTGAGAATGGCATGGGCAAGCAGTGAATTTGTCTCTTTATCCCCATTACATGCAGCAAGGTCACTGCAGCTCTATTAGTTAAAGAGTTCATTAAGAACTCTACCCTGTTTTATTGACAACCAGCAGCAATGACGTCTTCTGAAATTTCTGTTGCAGATTCAGGAAGGCATTTGTGGAGTGGTACAAAGAGAGAGAGGATTTGTTGTTTGTGCCATATTTAGTAGCCTACGTGAACAGCTTCCGTGATCTGATGTAAGTCTGCATTTCCCTTATAACATCTTTATGATTTTGGAGGCGGGGGGTGGGGGGGGAAGGATGTCTGTTGGATCTTATGGTTTAGCAAAGAAACAAGGAAGAAATTATGTCCCACCAGAGTCAACGGGCCAGAATCATCCTCGGAGTAACTGCAGGGCAACAATGGCGTTATGCCAGGGATGGATTTGGATGAGTTACTCCTGATTTGCATAGCAGTGCTTATTTCCCAGGGTAAAATTTAGCTCAGAGTTAGGGACACAGATAAAAGCTCAGTTTGTCTGGGAAATGGGGATGGAGTAACAGAAATGTTTGGTGTTCAGAAGAGGGGTTTAGATTCCAGCCCATTTGCAGATTTCAAAGACACATGGTCATGGTTTAAAAAACAAGTTAAAAGAGCATGTAAACAGCAGCATAATCTGATGGTTGCTCCCTTTGGCCTTAGAACAACTCCATAGAAAACATTTAGCCTGCAAAGAAACTCTCAATGTAATTGCTGGCTGTGGTGATTTTTAGGGATTTGCGTATGTCAAAGGTAGCTTTAGAGTCAGGTTTTCAGATCAATAATAATGCCTAGCTTTTATATAGGGCTCTATATCAGCAGATCTCAAAACACTTTACAAAGGAGCTAATAACCCCTGATTAGTGCATGTGCCTATTAGCACGTGTCTAACTGCCAAATCAGCATGCTGCAGTTTGGCTGAAATTCACCCCACACGTAGAAAGCCAGAGGGTTCAGGCTCTAAGCGGATGGAGGTCATCAGAGGTGAAATCCACCCCCCAGCTCAGGACCAGGGCTGCCTCACACTCTGGGGCTGCTACGCCAGTCTGGGCGGGAATAACAGCTACTGCTTCCATGAGGCCCTGGGACCAGGGGATCTACAGCCTCTCCCACACCCTGCTTCTAGGTCAGTTGCGAGCACATAGATGGTACAAAGATTCTCCTGCATGGCCTGGCCACACCCACCCACCCCACACAATGCATAAGAGGTTTTGCATTGGCCCTGTGAGGCAGGGGTGAATTTCATCCTACCGGATTTGTGCAGCCAACTTTTGCAAATACCCATATCTGGGGTCCTTTGAAAACACAACCCTTTCAGGTATATCACGGTGTTTATTATTTACCCGGGTGCTCAGAGAACTCAAATTCCACATCCGTAAGGGTGATGGGATATGGGAGATGTATCACATATCAATGCTGAGCTCACTCCCACCATTGGAAATCAGGAGTAACTAATAGCATCAATCGAGTCACACTCCGTAGTGAGTGAGGTCAGAATAGGCCCCCAGAATCTGGTTTTAAATAGGGCTGTCAATTAATCTCAGTTAATTCACGCGATTAACTCAAAACAAATTAATCACGATTAATCACACTTATAACAATAGAATACCAATTGAAATTTATTAAATATTTTTGGATGTTTTTCTACATTTTCAATATTGATTTCAGTTACAACACAGAATACAAAGTGCACAGTGCTCACTTTATATTATTATTTTTGATTACAAATATATGCACTGTAAAAATGATAAACAAAAGAAATATTATTTTTCAATTCACCTCATACAAGTACTGAAGTGCAATCTCTTTACCGTGAAAGTGTAACTTACAAATGCACATTTTTTTTGGTTATATAACTGCACTCAAACAAAACAATGTAAAACTTTAGAACCTACAAGTCCACTCAGTCCTACTCTGCCAATCGCTAAGACAAACAAGTTTGTTAACATTGACGGGAGATACTGCAGCCCGCTTCTTATTTACAATGTCACCTGCAAGTGAGAACAGGCGTTCGTGTGGCACTTTTGTAGCTGGCGTTGCAAGGTATTTACGTGTCAGATATGCTAAACATTCGTATGCCCCTTCCATGTTTCAGCCACCATTCCAGAGGACATGCTTCCATGCTGATGATGGGTTCTGCTTGATAACAATCCAAAGCAGTGCAGACTGACACATGTTCATTTTCATCATCATGAGTCAGATGCCACCAGCAGAAGGTTGATTTTCTTTTTTGGTGGTTTGGGTTCTGTAGTTTCCGCATCAGAGTGTTGCTCTTTTAAGACTTCTGAAAGCATGCTTCATATCTCGCCCCTCTCAGATTTTGGACAGCACTTCAGATTCTTAAACCTTGGGTTGAGTGCTGTAGCTATTTTTAGAAATCTCACCTCGGTACCTTCTTTGCATTTTGTCAAATCTGCTGTGAAAGTGTTCTTAAAACAAACATGTGCTGGGTCATCATCCAAGACTGCTATAACATGAAATATATGCAGAATGTGGGTAGAACAGAGCAGGAGACATACAATTCTCCCCCCAAGGAGTACAGTCACAAATTTAATTGACACATTATTTTTTAATGAGCAACATCAGCATGGAAGCATGTCCTCTGGAATGGTGGCCGAAGCATGGAAGGGGCATATGGTTGTTTAGCAATCTGGCACATAAATACCTTGCAACACCAGCTACAACAGTGCCATGCAAATGCCTGTTCTCACATTCAGGTGACATTGTGAACAAGAAGCAGACAGCATTATCTGCTGAAAATTGTAACCAACCTTGTTTGTCTGAGTGATTGGCTGACCAAGAAGTAGGACTGAGTGGACTTGCAGGCTCTAAAGTTTTACACCGTTTTGTTTTTGAATACAGTTTTTTTGTACACAAGTCTACATTTGTAAGTTCAACTTTCACGATAAAGAGATTGCACTACAGTACTTGTATGAGGTGAATTGAAAAATAATTTTGTTTTGTTTTTTAAAGTGAAAATATTTGTAATAAAAAAAAATAAAGTGAGCACTGCACACTTTGTATTCTGTGTTGTAATTGAAATTAATATACACCTCTACCCCAATATAAAGCTGTCCTCAGGAGCCAAAAAAAAATCTTACCGCATTATAGGTGAAACCGCATTATATTGAACTTGCTTTGATCCACCGGAGTGCGCAGCCCCGCCCCCCCGGAGCGCTGCTTTATCGCGTTATATCCGAATTCGTGTTATATCGGGTCGCGTTATATCAGGGTAGAGGTGTATTTGAAAATATAGTAAACATCCAAAAATATTTAAAATAAATGGTATTCTATTGTTGTTTAACAGCGCGATTAATCACACTTAATTTTTTTAAATCGCTTGACAGCTCTAGTTTTAAGTTGGAGCAGCTTCCATTCTCCCCAGTGCATTTTTTGTTAGAATCCACATTAAGCACTAACATCAGAAAGCCTCTAGATGGCATGGTCTCTCCAGTAATTACTCGTACACCATGGTCTTTAAAGCAGTAGCTATGTTTTTTACAAAATCAGCTCTGTCCGTACTCTTATTTCTAAGTGGTAGCTGTGTTATTCTGTATTACCCTCTGATCCCACTGAGGGTTACCAAAAGAAACTACATCATTTGCTCAAGAAACTCCCTGAAAAAGCACAAGAACAAATCTGCACAGACACACCCCTAGAACCTCGACTGGGGGTATTCTATCTGCTACCCAAGATCCATAAACCTGGAAATCCTGGACGCCCCATCATCTCAGGCATTGGCACCCTGACAGCAGGATTGTCTGGCTATGTAGACTCTCTCCTCAGGCCCTACACTACTAGCACTCCTAGCTATCTTCGAGACACCACTGACTTCCTGAGGAAACTACAATCCATTGGTGATCTTCCAGAAAACACCATCCTGGCCACTATGGATGTAGAAGCCCTCTACACCAACATTCCACACAAAGATGGATTACAAGCTATCAGGAACAGCATCCCCGATAATGTCACGGCAAACCTGGTGGCTGAACTTTGTGACTTTGTCCTCACCCACAACTATTTCACATTTGGCGACAATGTATACCTTCAAGTCAGCGGCACTGCTATGGGTACCCGCATGGCCCCACAGTATGCCAACATTTTTATGGCTGACTTAGAACAACGCTTCCTTAGCTCTCGTCCCCTAAAGCCCTTACTCTACTTGCGCTACATTGCTGACATCTTCATCATCTGGACCCATGGAAAAGAAGCCCTTGAGGAATTCCACCATGATTTCAACAATTTCCATCCCACCATCAGCCTCAGCCTGGACCAGTCCACACAAGAGATCCACTTCCTGGACACTACTGTGCTAATAAGCAATGGTCACATAAACACCACCCTATACCGGAAACCTACTGACCGCTATACTTACCTACATGCCTCCAACTTTCATCCAGACCACACCACACGATCCATTGTCTACAGCCAAGCTCTAAGATACAACTGCATTTGCTCCAACCCCTCAGACAGAGACAAACACCTACAAAATCTCTATCAAGCGTTCTTACAACTACAATACCCACCTGCTGAAGTGAAGAAACAGATTGACAGAGCCAGAAGAGTACCCAGAAGTCACCTACCTCAGGACAGGCCCAACAAAGAAAGTAACAGAACGCCACTAGCCATCACCTTCAGCCCCCAACTAAAACCTCTCCAGCGCATCATCAAGGATCTACAACCTATCCTGAAGGACGATCCCTCACTCTCACAGATCTTGGGAGACAGGCCAGTCCTCGCTTACAGACAGCCCCCCAACCTGAAGCAAATACTCACCAGCAACCACACACTGCACAACAAAAACACTAGCCCAGGAACCTATCCTTGCAACAAAGCCCGTTGCCAACTCTGTCCACATATCTATTCAGGGGACACCATCATAGGACCTAATCACATCAGCCACACTATCAGGGGCTTGTTCACCTGCACATCTATCAATGTGATATATGCCATCATGTGCCAGCAATGCCCCTCTGCCACGTACATTGGCCAAACCCGACAGTCTCTACGCAAAAGAATAAATGGACACAAATCAGACGTCAAGAATTATAACATTCAAAAACAGGTCGGAAAACACTTCAATCTCCCTGGCCACTCGATTACAGACCTAAAAGTGGCAATAGTACAACAAAAAAAAACTTCAGAAAGACTCCAACGAGAAACTGCAGAATTGGAATTAATTTGCAAACTAGAGACCATTAAATTAGGCTTGAATAAA